AGGGACACTTATTATGGAAACTGGCCTTATTCCATTGCATCAGAAAACTACAAAGGCTACAGAAACCACAGTCCTAAAGTCAAGTTTAAAACCCCAGCTCATCACAGAGTGGCTCCATCCAAACACAACTCTTGCAGTTTCTTTTTTTTTCTTTTTCTTTTTTTTTTTTTTTTAATTCACTGATTGTCGAGAGAAGATATGGAATGTCCGAGCTGCTGTCACAGCAACTGTCTCCAAATAGATCAGGGAGCTCACTGAGCAGCCAATACTCAAAAAGCTCGTCTCAGTCTTGGACACCTTCATCCTACACACCTACTAGGTTTCCTAGTCTCTACCAGCTTCTACTATAGTCTCTTACCTTTGAACATGCATTGTCCAAGTTGTTCAGGATTCTCTAGGATCTTCTTTTTAACTTCTTACCCCAAGGAAGGCTTGTATTTATATACCTAAATCCTTCACCTTGGTAGCTAATATATATAATTCTAAATAACTGGCTATGACAAATTTCCAGGATCTTGGCCATCACTTGGCCCAGCTTTTAGCGTTGAGAGAGTCATTGCTGAGCATAGTAGAGACCTCAACAATAGCAAACATTTGTGGCTCTGATTAAGCAGAATCAAGAGTGATATAGCAGGTCTAATCTTTCTCTGCTTTAGAAATAGAGGAAAAAGTACAGTAAGTAAAATGATTAGCTTCTATACAGTTAAATGCTCAGTACTACTTTGGGTTAACAGCAATAAAATTGATGTTTCATGCTACAGAGATGCACTTCTAAGGGCTCAGACGCCACTTTTTTCCCCATGTCCCTTCAAGAACTAAAAATGACAAAAATGGAATAAATAGCTCTGCTTGTTATTTTGCTGAACTACAGGACTGCTAAATATTTATAAGACATAATGAAATCCTGTTATTAAGCTAATATTTTCCCTCTTGAATAGATTTCTCTAGTGGCTGTCAAACATCTTCACATTAACTGTTGCCAAGTGCAAACTTAGCAGCCCATCTATAGCTGGGAAAACAGGATGAAAGTTGGCCACATGATGTTGAGCAAACAAACAGTCCCTTTGCCTCTGGAAAATACTTTCCACTATACCAATCAGGGCAGAGGATAACTCAGAATCACTCATTTGTCAGTTTTCCAGGCTAACTACAAAACCGTGGACTTTGAGAACATGGCTTGCCTATTCCTATTGCTCATGCAAGATTTCCACGTCCTCCCAACATGTCCATCAGGACAGGCGAGGCAAAGTGAATTCCTGCCTCTTGGTTGCCAGGATCCACACTGGCATCATAGTGATTCCTGTAGGTATCTGAGAAGGGGCATGTTAAAGTTTTTTCACTGTCTCAATCTGACAGATACAGGGAAAATAGCCAAAGAGATTCAGCTTACTTTTAAATAACAGAGGTTTAAAAGCTATTCTAGTACAGCTGTATGAGAAAAAGCTAACCTTGCATTAGTCAAGAACATCTCTACGACATGGTGACAAACCTGAAAAGTTAAGGATCATAGGTACGACCCTGTCCAAATATCTCACAGATTCTCTGACAGCAGAATCAGGGAAATAACTGGGAGAAGGTAACAAGGGCAGGGGCAAGGAAGAGAACAGAAAAGTTTCCAGTAGAGAAGCACTAGGGAGCTCTCTTCCAGAGAACTTTGAGCATTTGCCTGCCACCCCTTTCCTGGTGTGTCCTGGGTCCAAGGGTTCTCAAGACCTTCAGAGACTGCCAAGAGACAGAACTGCATTCCTGCATCTGTTTCAGGAAGGGGCTTGTTTCTGGTCTTTCACATTAGTTCAGCATATTCGAACATTGTTAAGGATGGGATAAATACCCACTGCCAGGTACAAATGAAGCCATGGGCACAACCAAACAACTAAAGAAGAAAGGCACTCAGTATCCCCTAGTGCTACCTGCTACAACATGTCGGGGAGGCTGAAACACCTCCTTAAACTAACTAATAAAACACACTTCTTTGCTAACCTCCCGGGGGATTAACCTCTTGCTTCTCTAGAGGAAGCTCAAGACTCCTTCAAGCTTCCCTGAATAAGGAGAAGCCAGGACCAATCCAGCTGCTCTTTATTTCACAGATGTTAGAGCCATCTACTGGCTTCTCACAGCTTCTCAAGTGGTCTCCCTGGGCTGAGGAGGCGACAGATCTACATCCTACAGGAGTCTTGCCAAGATAAAAAACATCAGCGAGCCTGACCCTTCCTGTTGGAATATCCGAGATGAGAGGTTTGAGTCCGTCCCATTTCTCCAAGTGTAACAGTAGCAGAGGAACTAGTGCCTCTAGGAACTAGCTAGGTCTAGGTACTAGCTAGGAACTAGTGGAGTACCAGGACCGGTTGGAGGAAAACAATGTTAACAAAAACAACAGCTATCGCATCAAAACCCAAGTCCTTCTGCTAGCACTTGTGTCATGTTGGGGATGGAGGCGCTCTCACCTTCTGTAATAGCAGGTTTGTGCCCAGCTAAGCTCCTGTCCTCTGCTAACAGGACATGGCCATGAATGACAGCTCTTGGGCTATGATCTTGGCAAGCGTCGTTTATACCTGGAGAACTGAGGGGGACTCAAACAGCCCCATCCCCACAGCCTCCAAAGGGTCCTCTGCACCAAAATAAGCAGATTTTGGGCGTGACAATTTTACCTACAGTTTCAGCATGGCACAGCTATATATTGCACAGTGCTTTTATATCCAGTGTCCTTGGTGACTATAAAAAGTTCTGGAAAGATTAATACAAGTAATTGCAGCTTAATCATTAAGAAGCTTAAAATCAGATTAAATGGATTCATCCTTTTATATTACATGTATTTTAAATAACCTGCAGCTCTGTCAAAAGCAACAAGTGCTGCAGTGAAGCTGTGCAAGAATCAAAGAGGGGGCACACAGCTGCTCTACTGCTGCCTCAAGGACATTCCCAAACCGAACACTGACCCAGCAGCTTCTAGTATTGCCTCCACCTCCTGAGCTTTTCTTCCCAGCTACCTCACACCACAGGAGGAACACACATCCACAGCCCTCATGCGAAGCACAGCAGCACCACTCCGAGATGGCCGTGGTAGAAGTGTTACAGCTTTTCCTCTGCTCATCATATCCTCACATTCAGCATACTTTTTTTTTTTTTTCGTGGCAGAAAAAGGGTTTTGCTGCAGCATCTTGTTTGTTTTGCTGCAGTTCCACAGAAATTGCTGAGGCCTTGGGTCACGGTATGAGACGCTCACAGTACTCACCTCAGGAATACGGTGTGAAATCTTGCAGGCGATTCAGGTTTCACATCCCAAGTCTGGATGACTTCAGGGCATTGGCAACTGGTCAGTCTGTACTCACTCCTCCTTGCTCCCCAGAATTCACACACAGACACACTTCCCAGTTAAATGCCCTCAGTTAGGAATTACCGTGACATTTGTATCAGCTCTGACTGGGAATTTACCTCTAGAATAGTGCTGCTTAGGGACTTCAGTTGGTGTCAGAGGTGCACAGACAACATTGACAACAATGGTTTCCATTTGGGATTTCTAGGCAGCCTTTTTAACTCAGCTGGTCCTGAGTGTTGGGAAATAGATGCTTGTGACAGGCAGAAGTCACAGCCCTCTGTGCTGACAGACCAAGGCAAGGCTCCTGACATGACAACAAGTAGCTTCCTATTTTCAGATGAAGCCTCAAGACTCCAAACACGAGCACATCCATGTGCCAGGTACTCCACGGTGCAAAGCGCCAGAAAGCAAAGCCATTTGCTTGGCAGAATATGATGACCATTAGACTCTTAAATAATTAACACAAGGTTATGTCCTTTTAATTAGCTTCAGTAGTTTTTGCTCAATGGTACAGGGAGACTTTCTGAAGCAAAGAAGCTGGCGGCTTGGGCACCCAGCTGTGGTGGCTTTCGCTGTCTAGATTCCTAACCACTAAATAACCCCTTTTTCCATTTTCCCACCCTGAGGTACTATAATAGAGATACCGGCAGTGTTTGGGCAAGTAGTGTCAGATGAAAGATTTAAAAACTTAGCAAAGATAAGTCTCACTATTTAATAATCTGTGGGAACTGCATTTTAATTCTGAAGATATGTCAGTCATTAGAAGTGAATTAGACACCATACTTGATGCATATTCCTCATGAAAATACCATAAAATACATTATGAATTTTTCCATTAAGACAATTTATTTAAAGTATAGGGTACTTCTATCCCTAAAGACTGATTTAGGTGCATTAGTGCCTAATGAGCAACTGAGAGGAAGCCAACCAGGCCTACTGTAGCCTTCACTAGCAAACACAAGGCAGGGTGTCTGTTTTGGCTGCAGAATTCAAATTGAAGAGCACAATGTATGTGACATTATCATGGGCAGACTAGAGTTCTCATAAGACAACACAGTATTTCCACACCAAGCACACCATCATTGCCATTAGTGAGTTTTTCCTACCCATTGCAGTAGTTAACAAGTTGTTTCTATACTTTATTCTCAAATTATTAAAATGCTATAATAAATTTAGTTGTGAGGCTTGCAGTGAAAAACACAGCCTGCCCTTCTATACCACATCAAAGCAAGCCCAAACAAAACACGAGGCTTCCCTTGCTGAGAAAACAGAGATTTAAATTCAGTTAGACACTTTGCAAAGGTCATCATCCTCCAGTCAGTGTGAGAGAGCTCTCTGACACCGACGAGCTTTGCAGCTATGTGGAATCCAAACCAGTCCCCCTTGCCGCCCAGTCCTAAGTTCCTCAGTGCTGCCCCTGGGTGGCCCAACTCGCGTAGGAAGAGCGATGCACCTGAGCCTCTGAGCAGCATCCTGCTCGTTCATGTGAGAACAGAACAAATTAGAACCTGAGAAAGCACATGGCAGAAGGACTCCAAAGCAGATTTCTACTCAGACATCCATCACATATGGAGAGAGCATGCAACAGGAATAAGGTAGAGTGCTTGTTACACAGTTTCCACGCTGAATGCACCAGCAGTTAATTCTCTCATAACACATTTCAAAGCAAGAGGTGTGTACATACCAGGAAAAGCAACACGCTGCTTCCAGCCAACACAGTCCAGGCCTGTTGGAGTGCTCTGGGAAAATGGATGCAGCTTAAGGGGCAGAACGTCAAAGGCAAGGGCAGAAGTAATGGGTACACCCATCTCAGCCTGCAACAAGAGAGGGGAAAAAAAGGCAAGACATTAAACTTGGATAGCCCATAGTACAAAATAGAGCATCCATCATGGAACACCTATTTCCACTGCTGATGCTTAGTCATGTAAGCAGTATGTTAGTAAACATTTGCACATGGATGATTATGGCTAGAGAGGTTAAAAAACGTACTGAGAAGGCAACAAAAGCTGCAAAGTGGTAAGAACTGCAGGATAACTGACACTGCCTCAGGTTCCACCTCATTCTGAACACATACCTACTACACTACGACCTCTTCCTTTTTGCTACTTTGCCTGTTTTCCATCTCTCACTGAAGCAAGAGTTTGAGATGCCGAGGCCTAGGAACTTACATAGGATCCTTCCCTCTCCCTACTAGCCCATATTGCATCCCAAAATCTGCTTCCCACTACCATTTTAAGTGTCCAGCTGAGCAACCCTCCCGTTAAGACTTTCTTTTTAGAAGGCAGCTATTAGCTAAAATATCCTTCCCAAAGGAAACAGCAAGCCAAGAGCACCGAACAGCCACGCACTGGCCAAGCGGCCGAGGATGCTGCTGGCTGCGCCCAGTCTGCTTTGGTTTCCATGAACTTATCTGCCGGAAACAAGGAAAGAACTTCCAGTGTTTTGGCACACATATCTCCCAAGTGACAGCATGAATCCTGTACAGGTTAACCTAAACAACACTTGTTCATTTATTTATATCTGTTGGAATTTATAAAATTCCAGCAGAGCCCAAGTGGCAGCACAGTCTCTTCCAGAGACAATCAGATCAAGCAAACCAGGCAACATGCTGAACTGCAGCTCTGAAATGCCATCGGTAAAGGCCAGGCTATTCACAGGGAAGGGGACAGATGACATTATTGTTACGTTTAAGACTAAGAGGCAGGATGCTGCCTCAGGGCCATTTCATTTTTATTACTGCCCAGAATAATTTAAGAGGAGACTTGGGGTACAGTCATTATTTGACCGTTATCCTAGGGAATATAGTGCTTCCCAGGCAGGGAAAGGAAGCACTTCCAGAGATCTTAACAATGTGTAGGCTGAGTTTCTCACTCCCCACAAGGAAAAGGAGCAGAGTGTAGTAAAGACTGTCTCTTCTATACTTTCTTCCATGGGTTCAAGGGGATTATTTCTAGGCTCATATACACAGAGCGCTCCCCACTGAACAGCTCAGTCCCCGAGAGAGGCATTTACCCCTGCTGCGTGTCTGTGGCTTGCTGGGTGCAAAGCAGAGGGAGATTCATCTTGAGCAACCCTCCCTCCAAAGTGCCTCCAAGGAGCCCCCAGTGCTCAGAACCATGCTAGCGCATTGCAAAACTTCATTTTCTCATATTTGCAATGAGGTAGCATGAGGTGACTATGAGCGGTATCCAGGACAATAAGTTAAAGATCTATTTTCACTGCCTCTCATTTCTGTCTCATAACAAAAGCCAGAGCTTTTTCTGTACCAGCCCCCTCCGGGTATATTCCCCTGACGTTCCTTTTAGGAATCTCTCTAATTTGGCAGTGCAGAAACTGTGCTCTGACAAATGCTCCCAGAAACCACATCTTTGTCTCTAATACTGTACCTTGCAGAGGCATCAGGAATAAAAGTCAGGTTTTAACTTTTTGTTGAAATAGAAAAGGGTGCGAGCAAACAGGCAGTTAGAAGATATCACTAAAGCACGTCCTCCAAAACTAATTCTCCAAACAGAGCCCATGACCATTACAGCATTATGTGTATGTGAGGCATTGACTTGTTCCAGCTGGGGCACTTATGCTGCATTTCACACTGTGAAACCCTCCATGGCATGAAGGACAGAGTCTAGAGCCCAGCAAAAGAAAATTGATTTACTCACTATCACGTGAGTTTTTCTTATTCCATTTCAGAGGAAGTGGTGTTCAAAGGTTTGTCATGACCACTTAAATGTTAACACTTTACGGTACAAGATCAGAAGATGCTCAGCTTGTTATTGGTAGCATTTCGTTATAACGGACACCTGGGTCAATCTTGACTCTAGGGATTTACAGACTGCTCTAATTTAAAGCAGCTCAGCAGCTTACTGGACCCGAGCAAAACAAAGACCCATTTTTGATGTTGCTTAGAACTGATATTTCAGTGGCTATTCTTTAGTTTAAAGGTAGTTTCTAGGCTGCTTTTGTCCATTTCCCTCTGAATCACAACTGCCAGCCTTCAAAATAGTCTGATATTACTTCTATGCTCCTTTCCATAAACTCATGCAAGTGATAGAATAACAGCAAAAATGGGCACTGAAGGCTGAGAACGCTTTATACTCCTCCCCAGTCTGCCCTATTTAGCTGCTTCCACAATATTGCAGCATTACATCACCTTGCACACTGACTTGATCTTGACTTAACGCAATATGATTTGTCATAACTGAAACCACACAACCCAAGGCAGCCATGTGTCAGAAGACATCAGACTTGCCATTTCAGAGCTCCAAAGCCCCCTACAGTTGCCTAGTTTCAGTCACAAAACCACAAAAGACAATAAATGTCTTACAAAGCTTCTTTTGTGATAACTTATTTCTCTTCATAAATAGGGAATCGGGCACCGTTCTAAAACTGCCCCCAGTGCTGCAGCTTGAGCCAGCACTCCCACCACATCTGGGAGTATGAATAAAGAAAAACATTGTATTAATTCCAAATGCAGCCTAGGCCAGCAGTATTACAGTAACAGAGCACTGCAAAGACAGAATAAAACACAATAGGAAAGAGAAACAACACAATAACTATTAAAGCTAAACAAGATTCAACTATAGGGGCATATAGGAAACAGGCCTTGAATCTCAAGAGTTCTCAGCAAAACTTATCACTATACTTTCTTAAACCATACACAAAGATTTTAAAAAAAAAATCTACATGGCTCACCAGGTGTATGATATTAAGTGAGAGAACCTCAATGGGAGAAGAATGGGAGCTGCTATTCATTACATATCACAATTTAAAGGTAAGTAGTAGCATGAAAATGGGTGGGAATGTTCAAAAGAGAAGCTGTTTTTAGTAGTTTTACTGGTGGTCTCAGTACTGTCCAACATATCTATAGAATGGTTTGGATTTCTATTGCTACCCACATATATCAAGTAATTGTAAGCAATATTTTTAGTGTGTTATATTTAGGTTTGGTGATAAACAGAAACCAGTATGCCAGGGATGTGCTTTCCCTAATTATTCTTTCAGAAGTTGGAACAAGATGGAAAACCTTGTAAAAGTAACCACAGTTACTTTTAATGGTAGCACATGGGCCTCAAGAGGACTGTTCATTCGCTTGGACACAGAGCTGGCAGCCGGGCTGAGCATCCTCGCTAACATGAGAATTGACAACGTGTGGCAGAATCAAGACCAATGCGCATCAAATCCTCAGCCAGTTATATTTTGAAAGGGCAAACAAACAGAATAGTGCAAATTTTAGCCTCTCAGTTCCTCAGAAACCCTTTTCGTGGACTGGCCTGGCTTTGTGCCCTGGGTGTCCCTTGGCTTTGACACGAGGCACTCGCAGGCAGAGGGTTACAAGGCTCTGCCCCAAGCACCCCAGACAAGCTCACCTTTGTCTACTGAAGGGTTTCTGCCTCATTACCAGCAGATCAGGTAGGATCAGGCCTCAGCCACCTCAGACCTTGCCAGAAACAGGCAGCAAGCACAACAGAGAGACAGGGAAACAAATGAAGACAACAGACTGAAAGAGAAAGTTCTGCGGAAAGGTCTTACTTGAAAATCTGTGACTTGATTTCAAACTTGCTCAAAAATTTCTTCCATATTAGCAGCAGGAGTTGCATAGAATTTTCCCTCAACCACATATCCATTTTTCACGGAAGCTTGGTGTTTTATATGTAAGAGCTAAATTTGGCTCCTGGAAGCAGATTCATGGTTCTCTCCAAAGGGAAGAAACTTCAGCTCTAGATCCAACAGTACTAGATGCTGTGTGAGTCACAGCAGCCACAAAGTTTGTCACAAGCAATCACAACTCTGACCTTAAAGTCTCCCATGGTGCAGAGGAGATTGCTAATAGTTAAAACTCCAATGTCAACGTCCTCTCAAGCACTTTCCAGAGGAATTGCCAGAAGTCTTTCCTCAGAAGAAGAGAGCTGGCCTCAGATACAAGGGAATCTAATTTATAGGTCACTTTCCAAAGCGATACAGCAATGCTACAGGGCACTGAGATTTCATCAGTTTAATTTACATTGATACAAGACAACTTTGATTTGCTCCTTGTTCTCCCTACCTTCAGCCTGCGGAGCCATCTGATGCAATCACAAACTATTGCTCAACACAGCAGCGGGCAGGGATTAAAAAAACCTTTCAAGATAATACTTGTAGCGATGAGTTCAGTGTTGTAGAATCAGTCACCAAAGAATAGCAGGCCCAGAGAGAAGCAGAGAAGACTGGTCTAAAATGTGGTGCAAAAGAGGAATATGGCGACAGCAGAAAGGAGCAGCCAGAGCAGAGAGAGGTAAGACAATGCCAGAGAATGGGGAGGATGGTGGTTTCTTACTTTTAAATGGTGCTCTGGGAGGTGCTGCAATTGAATTCCTCTCTCTGGCTGTGTCTCCTTCTCTAGCTTCCCTTTTTGGTTCCTTTCCATCCAGACATCATCGAAGCTGAAGCACTTATAAAGGGGTTTAGGTGTCTTCCTTCTCCTCTCTGGAATGTCCTTGGCTTTTTCATCTGGAGCAAGGAAGGAAAGCCTTCGGGCTTGGCTCTCCAGGGCTGAGAGAGGGCGTGGGGATGGTGGAACCTGGGGAGGCCTCCTTTTGTGATGGGGAATCCATTTCTCACTTGGCCTCTTTTCAGGTGGTGTCTGGCACTGCTGTTTAGGCTCCTGTTTTACAAGCAACAGGTGAAAACACAGGGTTTGTTGACTGGAAATTTTATTTGCTTTAAATCAGATTGAAAGGGGGATGGCATAGCTGAGTTGTCTGTTTTAAGAAGAAAAAGCAGCTCATGAGAAGTGGGAGACTGAAGACTGCCTGTCCTCGCCTCGCGAGGCCTCGGCAGCGCTGCTGTCTGGATTCCAGACACTATAATACCCATTCCCTTTGCGCAGGACCATGCCCTTTTCACCCTCCATCTCAATGGCGCATTACAATAATACTACATGTAGGATTTAGGTCACTCTGCCTGTATAGTATTGTTTACAAAGAGAGACGGTCTCTTTGAAAATGGAATAATGCCCAATCTGGTCGGTCTATGCTTTTCCCACCGTGCTCCATCTACAGAAAGTGAAAATGCTTCCTCAATGCCTGCAGGCCTCACATATTAAACTCAGCACTTTGCACTTGACTCTCATTCTCTTTTAATGTGTATAGCTGCACAAAACCCTATCTTTTGTAGTTGAAAAATATAAAATCAAGCAGACCCCGAGGAATCGAACTTTTAATCCAGGTAGCATCAGGTAAAGTCAGCAAAATTTAAGGTGGAAGATAACTGTATTGAGGAATGAGTGATCTCAGCAATTTCATTTTGGGCCAAGAAATGCTTTGTCCTGACAATAGCACCGTTGTAGACTCTCACAGTTCACCTGAAGAACCCAGACACAACAGTCCTAATCTCCTCGCCATCTCTGTTCATAATTCTTTTACAATCTGTTGAGTGAAGGCTCTCTGAAAACTCATGGATTTCTAGGCCTGGTGTACAGGTGACCAGGGCAGGGCATAGGCCAACCCTGGGTCTCATCAAGACTCATCAGGAACACTGTGAAGCAAATCCCTGATTCCTCACCTCCAAGAGAAGACATTACGCTGCATCTTAGAGAAATCCCAGTGAACCCTGTACACTACACATAAAATGGTGGCTGTTTAGCAGGGGTAGATACCAACCAGGTGTACAACTGTTGAAATTTGGAGATTTCAATCCAGTAACTTTGCGTAGGGCTGAAGAACTAGGGTGCATGACCCTCACCCCACGGTGCAATCCCAAGGATGCTATTCTAAATTCAGAAAAATCTGAAGCCACTCAGGAAGTGAGTGGCAACAGGGAATCAGAATGGTAGCTGATCCGTTGAAGTTTGGGACACCACTATAGCATGAAAAAAAATGGAGACCACTGGCAAAAAACCTGGATGGGAGCTTGGGGAATATGTGTGTAACTCCTCAGTGGAGGGCATGCGGGGATGCTCCAACAACTCCACAGTTAACCATTTTTCTAGCATTCCATCAAATCATGCCCCCTATCAATGTAGAACATAAATTTGTTTTTTTCTTTTAATCCACTATTAATGTTATGACCCTTTGGGTTAGCAACATATATAAGGAAGATCATCCTTAATGTTTAAATGATAGTTAAATCATTGTCGGAAAGACTTAAGATTGCAAGTATACTTTGTTCAATGCCTCGGCTGTATTTTCAGAAGTACCTAATAAAAATAGCTTTACTTATCAAAAGCCACTGGCTACAGAATTGAGTACAGTTCTGCTTCATTTCACAATGTCAAATAATCCTACGCTGGGAATAAACAAAAGCCTTATCTACTTCCATGTGTTAGATGTTGTGTCCTGAAAACCAGGACAGTTACATTAATTTCTAGGCTCTAGCTGCATTTAACCAGTTTCAGACATCATATTCTGCAGTCCCCAGAAGAATTAGTAAAATTTAACCATTTTTGTATAGCTTAGATTTTCACTATTTCCTTTAAATTACTTAAACTAACCATCAATTGAAGAGGAGCAGTTATTTGCTCCTAACGGTTGCATTTGAGGATGTGGGTTTGCCTATCCAAGGCTTGACACATGTCTCTCCACTTTACCCTCCTCTCGATCCTCTTTTGGATCCTCCTATTTGCAACCAGTCCTTAGCTGCAGAACTGATCAATTCTGGATTCGCGAGCTCTCGGAGAAGTGTCTGCTTGGCGTGGCGCTCCAGACAAAAAATCTCTCATTCTCTCTCAATTGCCACTTTTGCAAATTGGTTCAACAAAACCTGCCTTCCCCCTTCTTAATGTCAAAATTCATCAACAATATTGAAAAAGTAGCATGAGAAGGGCCAGTCACTCTGTTAGTTTGTGCTTGGCCACAGAAAGAGATTCCTAAGCTCTCAGCCACTAACAGCTTAGGATAAAGAGTCCCTGACAGAGGAAGTGTGTGTTTTTAATTGCCTGAATCAACTGAGAAGCCTTTACTCAATATACGCTCTGTGAAACCCAGTCTATGACAAGTTAACTAATAGATTACCAAGATTACAGTATAATACAACAGTAAAAGAAAATGCAGACAAAGCTCTTTTTCTTCTGTTCACAGTATGAAAACTGCACCCCAATGGCAATCAATGGGGAGCAGTGGTGATTGTAAAATGCTTGCAAATTTTGAAAGACAGCTTGTTGCTGCCTAAAAAAAGATTTTGCTTCTAAAAAGCGGCTGCTAGCAAGGGGAATGGCAGTGCTTTTCACTCTCAGAAATATACTTGCTACACAGTCATGGGGCTCAATTCTGCCTTGTTTCAGATGTGTAAGATCCAGGTAAGCACTTGGCTTTAGGAAAGGGCAGTGTCTGTCTGAGGCATATTATGCATTTCTACTATAGCGCTGGCTCCACTTGTATGGATTTTTGTGGTAAATATTCCCTTAAAATAAGCATCAATTCATATTCTCTGAGAACAGGAACTCAAGGATTAACTGGTGTGCCCTGTCTTAGACAAAGCGGCACCTTCACACACCGATCTAGCCAGTGACAGAGTTTCACTGGAATTCCTTGATCACATTAAGAGCAAAGACTTTGCAAACCAAACCAGCCAATCATTCCCAGACCACCACTCACCTCATCTCTGAGTATGTCACTAATGGAAGAGGCTGTATTTAAGCTGATCTGGGATTGACTGCTTATCCCACTGTCATCCTTCTGGTATTCACTGTCCAGCGAGTGTACAGAAAGTAAAAGACTACCTCTGGGTTTCAGTGTCTTGGGCCTCTCGGGAGCTTCCAAAGTGCTGTCCACTGCAGCACTGTTCCCAAGAGAGATCATGGAAGTGGCACATATTCTTCCAGGATAATGGAAGCTCTTGCATTGAGAAGTGGACCGTGGGCTCTGTGGTTTAGGACTCATTGGCCTACACGGCATGTCTTTACCTTCATAAGTTGACAGCTGGGGACATGATGGACTTGACAACTGCAAGTCACTGGGACTAAATGGAGATTTCACCCAGTATTCATCTAGAGAAGTATTTAAAGTGTTGACCAGGGCCTCCTGTTGTTCCTCACAGTCTGAACTCTGTGAGTATTTTGTGCCCAAGTCATGAGACTGTATTCGCTTCCTCCATATATCTGGAGATGAAGAGACATCAATATGCTCTACAGAAGGCTCAGAACAGCAGGCATCTCTCACAGAGCCATTAGCTGTTCCTCTTTTCAAAAATGCTTGTCCATTGGAAATACCCTGTCTCTCGACTGATGTTGTTCCCATCACATGGTCTCTATTTGTGTTAAGACTCTCCTGGGTGGGTGATAGGTTTGCCAAGACCATCCTTTTTAGTCCATCTGTCTCCTTGCTTTTTAGAAAAGCTTTCCAGGTACTCTGGCGAAGTTTGACTTTCTCCTTTTCGTATTTCAGTGATACTCTCGCGCTTTGCTCGGTATTTTCTTTTTCTGGAGATTTGGATTCAAATAAGCTTGAAAGAGATTTGTGTGCTAAGGCCAGCCTTGTCCTGAACTTCTTGCCCTCAGAGTTTTTGTGTCTTTTGTATTCATTTTCAGGGAAGGATTTTTGAATTCGTAGGTATTCCAAAGGTTCACAGTCACTGTGTACAGAGGAAGCTGAAGCTTGTCCATCTGCATATTTCTCAGCTGCCAGCATGGGAGCAGTAGAGTTTGTATCGGTCTCTTCCATCAGGATCCGACCAGAGCCAGAAGCCTTCCTCAGGCTCATTCTGTTGAACAGTCCGGCAGGTCTCTCATAGAATAAATCATCGTCATCAGAATATTCAGACCCATAGCTTTCCTTCCTGTGGAAACTAAAACCAGAAGAATAACTTTTAAAAGACTGCAAACTCTCGGTATCTTCATCCTCTTTCCCAGCATCCAGTTCTTCCGTTTTTGCCTTGATACCAAAGAAGCTGCTGCTTCCTTGACTTTCTGCCGTAGCAGGCTTTGTTTTCCTGAAAGAGGTCATTTTTGAAAAAACCAAAAACCTGGGAGATCTCCCAGTATTCCCATTCTTTGTTGTTTTTTGCACAGCTTTATGGAGACTGCTGTTACTTCCCAGGATGTGGCAGGAGCTTTCATCCATCTCCTCACTGTTGGTGCTGCACATGCTTATGTTATCCAGGCCTAGTCTGCAGACATTATGGTTCTCCCTTTTCCCAGAACAGTTAAAGACATCGGGCACATCCAGATTCAGTGCATTGTCTTTGCTGGCTGTGTCTTCCATAGCATCCCCCCCTTTTCTTTCTCTAGTAGAAGGATCTTCATAAATATTTATTTGTTCCTTTGAACCATAACAGCCTTTAGTTGTTTCCATGCCTGTTCCTTGTTTGCAGGTGATGTTGGGGCCTTGAAGGTCATCATCAGCACCATCTCCCTCATATAGATTGCTTACACCGTCCTCTTCCAGTGCTACTGCAGTGGTTATACATTTGTCTTCCTCTCTACCTTGATGTACCTTGAATTCCTTTTCCTTGGTCACCTGGTCATCTCTTGTTTCAGTCCATGACTTTTTCAATTCTAACTCAGAATGCGTCCTTGTTCTGTGGGGCTCAACCTCAGAAGTCCTTATGGCAGTTCTGCTATGGGATTTCAGGAGTGCTTCACTGCTTTCATCTGCTCTGTCTTCTGCAACAAGTATATCATTGTCCAAAGGTAAATTAACACTTCCAAATTCCACCTTTCCACTTGTTACTGTGCAATTACTACAGCTGAAACCTAAGGATGAAACCAAATCTGTTTTCTCCAATTTCTGTTGTGAAACTTCTGATTTTATTTCAGCCGTATCCCAAGCAGAGAGCACCTCTGCACCACTAGGAAAGGGGTATATGGATAGAATTTGCTCTTTGCAGCTACAGCATTTATTCAGAACTCTTTCTGGATCATCATGAGGTTTGCTGACAATATGAGGAGACACCAAATCACTGCTCACCAGGTCTCTCCGTGTTCTGGTTACTGTTTCAGTAGAAAGGTCATCATTCAGTGTCTTGGACTGCAATCCTTTCTGCTCTACAGATACTATAATCAAGGCAGGCTTTACCTCTGGAAAATTCATTAAATGCTTTCCCTGATCTATATAATCTGAACTGGGAGTCATTTCAAGAGCAAAGACACTGTCCTCATCCTTTCTTTGAAAAGTAGGATGTTCATTTGTTACTTGCTCAGAGCAACAACTTAAGGCACCGGTTTTACAACTTGTATTTTGCTGCATTGAATCTTTGTGCTTTGCTCTAGTGTCACTGCCACCTGGTTGCAATGTAGTTTCCAGGGCTTTCCAACCAAAGAGAATGTTAGAAGTAGCCTTTAACCCTCTTTTCTCTACCATGACCTCTCTACCTGACAACTGAGAATCAAGGCCATCAAGGCCACTGTCCTCCAATGTGTTCTGTGGCTTTCTACCTGGGGAAACGTAGTTCACAGAATAACCCCAATCTCTGTTTTCTGCAACATCAGGAAAACCTACAAGACAGGACACTGCATTGTCAGTGTCACCAATGCCAGATTCAGCATTAATATCACAAGGGAATCTGCATGCTTCCAGATCCTTCTCAGATTTGTACTGATCATTTTTCACTAGTTCTTCAGCATTTATGATCACCGGCTCACAAGCCAGGGCAGAAGAAGTCTCTTTTTGTTTTGGATCACACACATCAGCATTTCTCCATGCTGAAGATGAGCTCTCAGCACATGTATCTGCTGTTTCTGGGCTAAGGCCACATGTCTCTGATTTAGAGTGCAAATTACAATCCACATATTGGTGTGAATCTGCTGGTTGAGAAAGCTGATCTCCATTTAAATCTTTGCTGGTATTAAGAAGGGATCTTTTTATGCCAGATTCGCCATCTACTTTTACGGCTTTTTCAGGGCTGATCGCTACCCTTTCTAAGTTTTTTGAAGCATATTCAAAATCTAGTCCTTGAAGATGTATTCTGGAACATGACCACCTAAATTTATCTGTTAGATGATAACAATCCCCCACATACTCTCCCATATTCAGAGCACTTATATTTTCAGGTACACTATGCCATGTCTTCCTTTCTGCAATCTCTGGTCGAATGAGTGGTGGCTGAGATTTTGATTTGAGGTGGCTCTGGTGAAAGAACGAATCTGATGCCAACATGGCCTCCGTGCTTCCTTGTTTTATCCTTTTACATGTGATTTCATCACTATTAACCAAGTTCTCCCTATGACATTTTATACTGGACAAAGGACCTAGCTCACATTTATACTCAGATGCCCCAGCGTGACTCCCATCGTAAGTTCCATTTGTTTCAAAATGAATATTAGGCAAACTACAGCTTGGTGCTGCATCTGACTGGAAAGGAAGTTTCTGTACCTCAGGAAAAATCAAACAACTTTCGGAGCTTGCTTTGAAACAAGCAATACTTAATGCTGCAGACTGTTTTTTCTGTCTTGCAACAGCATCTTCAGCAAGTACTGAGTCGACACAGGATTGCACTGTACTGCTTTCAAACTCTGCTTTAGCTTGCAATCCTTCTACTATCACCTTTTTGTCTGTCTTTGATACAATGTTCTGTTGACTCACTTTGTTCTCTAGGTTGGAAATAACACTAGTTAATGTTTGTTTTTCATCGCCCTCTTCTTCACCTTCTGACTTTGACATTTGTATGTGAAATTCATTTTTCCTTGGTGTTGCTTTTATTTTGGAAGACGCTTCTAACTGCACCTGCTGCCTAAATTCCGGGTGCCTCGAGCACTTAGGTTCATTAGTTGTGTCTACCTTTGCTTTAGAAAGACTACAGCAGAGATCTTTTTTTTCAGCAGAGAGACAATTTGAATCCAAGCAAGTTTCCCCAGTTAAATCACTGGCAACAGATTCTGTTTCTGATGCACTCTCATAAGGCTCAGTTTTTACATCAGACAAAGATTCACTCTGATGTGATAGGGTCTCAAAATAATCTTCATCTGTTTCTTGGCTTGATCCACGTATCTCCAGCTCTTGTGTGCTAGGGGTGGAAGAGCTCAGATCATCCTCAAACTCTCCTTCACTGACGTAGTTTTCAACTGGTTCTGGAGTCTGTGAACAAAGAGAAAAGAATTAGTTAGCAACCAACATGCGACAAGATAATAGGGATTATTAGAAAAGAGACTTAAGAACACAATACAATTACTATATGCTGATGATTCTGGAAGTTATGCTTGCCATATTAGTTATTGATGTCCATTTCTATTTCTTATTTTTTTTTCTAAACACTTCTTAACTAAAGCTTTTTTATTTTTATTTATGCAAGGGCCAAAATGCACCTTTTGGGCACATCCTTCAAAGTGCAGTCCCAAGACACATTTCACATTCAGATAAATTAGATGGAAGTTATTCTTTGTCAGTAGATTTAAAAATTCTCATGAATCCATCTTTGAATCCAGACAGGAGTTTTATACTATAAACCATAGATGACATTGTTACTGTCCAAATTACAGGAATGCAGCATAAGTGTATGCAGAACTGTTCTACACTTAGATAACTGAAACATCACAAAGTTTCTAACTCCAGACTCCAAAGTGCAGAGGGCAATTTGGAAGAGGGATGGCACTAGGAAAACACAAGGGAGCTGTGTTAAGCTAAGGAAAGAGTGGAAGATGAATAGATTTGAAACAAGGAAAAAGTTGGAGAAAGAAGGGAGGTCTGTCTCAGTTCTGAAAGTATTTCACTTTACCACTTTTATCATTCTCCCTTGTACTTAAACAACTTTCAGATCTTAACAGCAGACACCTCTGTGGAGGCTCAGAATAAAAGAAGTTGGTATTTTCTCTTGACAGAAGACTCAAAATAAGAACTGAGTGGAGGAGGGAGGTTCAGTGCTTCAAACCAAGTGCAGCAATCCAAATTGAAAGCAATTGCTTTCACACAATTAAGCTCCACCAAACTGCAATGTAACTTCCACACAAGTCATGTAGCCAGCAGAACATGTCCTTTACTGTGTGCAAGCAGCAACACGTGTAATTGAACTCCTTCAGTAATGTCAAATCCTGCTATCACCAGGACAGAAATGACTAGCACTGAGGCAGCAGAGAGCAGCATTTCACATACCGAGCGCACGGCATGGACGGTGTCACAGCTGGCTCACGTGCCATGAGCAGAGGAGCAGCTGTTCTGCACTAACAGCACTGCCTCTCCGCAGGGCTCTGAACACAGATTTACAGATGACAATAAACTAAGATAAAACCTGCTCAGGCAATTAGGAAGTAAGCCCTGAAGATGCCCAGCTACCCCCAAGGATAACTAAGAATTAAATTGCAAAAAAATTAGGGCAGAGATCTCATAGGGTCAATTTATCCTTCCAGGCACCGCTATACCAGACCGAAAAAATAAAACAACACGAAATTCATTTTTTGGTGTTTATGGTATTATTCAAAATTATGCAAATAAAGCAAAAGTAGATTCCCCAACATTGCCTTCAAACCTTGGGAAATGAGGAAACAAGTTCTAGGTGTGAAGGGTGCCAACCAACAACGTCAGCCTTCGTGCCTGGCACAAGCCTGGGGCTGAGCATGTGTCCCCCAGTACTGCTAACGGGAAGAGTCAGAATTTTGACTTGCGGCAGCGTTTGGGGACCCACTACCAGGTGTACCCTGGCATGAAGCTGCCCTGAGGAGGAGGAGCCCTGAGGGCTCCGTTCCTGCTGAGTGTGTCAAACCTTCCGCCTACCAGGCAAGAGAGACCCAGAGCTGACTTGTAATAAGGCTGCAATTCGTAAGGCCATTGAGCTAAGCAGTGGGATGAGGAAACAACACACACAGGTCTCTGCATAAGCGCAGTGTTCTAGATGTGCTCAGTACCTTGTCTGGAAAGCCTCCAAGTGGTTAAGCAGTTCCAGAATCACTGGGGCTATGTGAGCAAATGCCTAATGATTTGGCAACTGCCATCACTCAAGGTGTAGTCCTGGATGAAGGCAAGAGAGAGGGGCTTGCAATCAATAGCAAAACGATGTACAGAGCTAGTGAAATAGCTCAATTTTGTAATGGCAGCTGCCAAAACCCCAATGCACTCCCCTCTCCTGCCAGCTGGAATCACAGCCTCATGTTTATGTTCAATGACAGCTTCAGCATTAAGTTGAACTGGGTAAGTGCAGGACTGCTCCAGCAGCAAGCACTGCAGGCTGGTGGCCCGCTGTGCTCTAAAGCAGGCACCATGCAGCTTATTTGATTCCTTTCAGCAAACCAGCTCTGAACATGCAAACATTTTATAGCCCAAAGCCAAAACATTATCTTCCGTCTTGACATTAATATTCCGATTACCACCTACAGCCTAGCAGAAATGTTGGCCAAGATAAAACAAGGTGCAGCATCTGGGTGCCATCTAGAGGCTGGGCTGACATGCCTGGTCAGACACAGCTTGTGCAGGGGCAGAAATGCTCCCTTGAGCATTGAAAGGACTGAGTCCTAGTCCCCTACTATGCTGCAGGACAACTGTCTTGCTAACAACGTCCTCAGCGCTGCTTTCCTCCAGTAAAACAAGGGCTGCCCTGCAGATATGGTGGCAAGCTAGCAAAGAGCCAAAAAAATTTACTGTGCTACGTAGGGGATAAATGGGCAAGAAATTCCTCAGCACAATGTGATTGCACAAAACTGAAAAGTTCATGGCTCAGGGCGTTTTGTATTTGTGGGTTTTTTTTCTTTCATTCATTTTTGAAAACTGCTCTTTGCATCAGGAATATAAGACAGATATTTATTATCAATGCAATATGTAAGAAAATATGGTAGATTTATTCGCATAGATACATTCAAAAGCAACAGTTCATTTACATTGAAACAAATCCTAGATTTTAGCATAATTACTATGTCGGTCATTCCTGAAATGTAAAGTCTTAAATTGCACAGATAATTAAAACCATTATTGTTCTGAAACATAAAAGGATCATTTGTTTAAATTAATAAAGCAAATAACCACATCAAATAAAGCTTGAAATGCAAAAACTAAAAATCAGCCTCAGAACTCCGCCACTATTCGGCACTCCCTGCACCCACCGCATTGCGGCACCCCCTCTGCTGGCTGCTTAAAACTGTATTTTCAGAAAAACAGTACTCATTAAACCTTGGACTATACCAGACAGAAGACATATATTATCAGATTTGGGGGTATTTTTTAATGAAAGCAGAAATATCTTTTGCTTGATTTGTAATACCAAGTCATTTTTTGAACCATATCTTTTCTCTGCTGAACCAGACCATTATCACTCGGAGTGTCACCAAAAGAGCACTCTGAAGGAAAGGGCATGTGTGAAGCCAGGGAGGTGTCAGGCAGTGGCTGACACCGAGTCCTCCCTTCCCTGAATTCCTCCTACTGCCACTGGAAACATCACCCCAGACTGCCCAGCATCCTCAGCCTCTGCGTCGCCCTCCTGATTATGTTGCTTTGAACTACTCTTATTTCTGCTGTCGCGTTGCAATATTATTACACCCAACACCTTTCCTCTGGCCCATTTTATTACTGGGTTTCTAGATGCCTCAAAGCCCATGTCGCAGCTGTGCTGGATAAACATGGTGAGAAAATCTGCCCTGAAGTGCTGGTAGTCTGATTAGGTCAGATAAAGGGAAGAAAAGAGCGGAGGGAGGAAGCACTGTCTTCCTTTTGCAGAGTCAGTCTCTAACGACTTCCACGAGTCATATCGGGACATCTGCAGCAAAGCAGGGATTCAATCATCTCAGCCTCTGCCCATTATTTTTATTTTTGCACTTCTCCGTTACGCTTTATACACCTCTAAAGGCCTGGGCCGAGGCTGAAGCGCACTACACACTGTTGCAGGGGACACAAGACATCCCAAAGCACTTCCTGGGGTGCAGGAGCTGACTCGGGTGCCTTTGTTGGTATAGATAGTACCAGCTTCATGCCTTACTTCTCCTTTGACCTTGGGTGAATGACTTCTATGTTCCTCCTTGGTAAGAAGAGTCTAACACCCTTCTACCTCAGAGCTGCTTTGTCAGTGTAAGTTTAAGTGACACATGGGAATAAAATCTCTTGAGTCATGAGATGAATTAAGGTCACAAAACCCAGCCTTATATTTCAAGATCCACATTCATTATATGCATCTGTGCCTGAAATGCCTCCTTCCCACAACAACATGTGAGACAGCTGTCCATTCTCAGGAACCTTTTATCCTAGCAATGGCTTCATTTGATGTCACTTGGCTTGATTTACATTATTTATACTAACTCACCACATGAGTGAAATAGTACAATTATCAGCTGTGCTCTTGCCGTGAGACTCTTGCCTCACAAACGGCTTCCAGGGATTCTGTGATGCTCCCAACAAGAGGCATAGCTAAAACAATAGATACAGCAGATGAATTTGGCAGGGGAAACTCAGTTTGGCATGGGCAAGGCCTGAACTGGAGTTCAAGAAAGCTTGATGTGTAGCCCATTTCAAAAAAGATAGGATCTACTGGCAATAGTCAAAAGAAAAGCAACAAGAATGATTTAGAGTGAACAGTCTAGAGAGAGAGTATGATGGGACAACAGACTAACTACATAAAAGGCTGTGACAAGGTAGTAATCTCTGCAAATATATCATGGATAAGACTTAATGAGTTTAAATTGAAGTACAGGAGATTCAACTTAGATGAAAGCCAATAAAAGGAAAAAAATGAAAGAAACAACAGGGTGGATAATGAAACTGTGACACATTGCCTGAGGGACTGCACTAAGTCTCCATCACTTTACATCTTTAAGTACAGATTAGATACACATCTGAGAGAAATGACACAGGTAGAGCTGATCTCCAGTTGAAGGGCAAATGAGGAGGCCTCTTTTAGCTCCTGTATCCTTTAATTCAATAAGCATTAACTCGTATGTGGTTATTCAATTATTTACTGTGATACGCAGCCCTGAGGGATACTCTGAGGAAAAGCAGAAGAAAAGTCACCAGCAAAGAATTCCCCCAACAACACAGAACGTGGGAGCAACAAGCCATCAAAACCAAAGTTCAGAAAGGCCTGAGGAATGTCCACTTGAGAGATTAGAGGTATAGAAGACATGAATTATGAGATAAGACCAAAAGAACTGACATTGTCTAGCCTATGA